CTTACATTTTACACATATATACATGTACATGTAAATGTATATATGGCTATCTTGCGATGGTATTTGCCATAATTTATCCAGATCTCACGAGTTTCGTTCATTCACGTACGAACAAAACTTCTAAGTCTAATTATCTTCTTCTGCCTGTAAAATAACACGTGTCTTTTGTTATACGACACCCATGTAACCCACCCATTTTCCACAGAGTTTTGCTCGCATGATCCGAGTTGTATCGACTTTTAACTAGTTTGATTGTTAAAACACGTTCAACTATTTACCATAAAATCCACATCTTTAAATCGTTATATAGTTTTCTTCTTTTTAGGATGTTTTTAACTTTCAAGAATTTAAATGTTAAATTTTATGCAAAACTTTTCTCATACACAACAAAAAGAAACCCCTTATCAAGAAGTAAGGCAATTTAAATATCATGAAATTTTTCAATTACAATCATTTCGTTAGAAGAAAACGTATATTCTCTTTGTTAATTAACTTTCTTTTTTCTTGATTTTAATAAACGTGACGTTTACACGACGATTTAATTAGAATTATTTAGGGATTCCCACAAATGACCTAATCATACGGATTCGTCTAATATAATTAATTAATGAGTATTATTATAATTATAAAATAATATAATTTTTTTTATAATATAATTATATAAACAATAGGTATAATTAATTTCATGAAATAATAAATGATCTATAAATATATAATCGTTATTAATTTCATTATTTATATTATATTATACGAATTGTGTAATTTCTAAGAATTTTCAATTAAAAAAAAAAAACTGAATGGCTCTTCACCGACTTATGTTTTTCCGCTAAAAATTATAACCTCCCACCCCTTTCTACAACTCATGCAAAATAGCATATACCAAGTCATCGAGAAAATTTGCAATAGTTGAAAAGATAGGAACGTTATTCCTGACGTAAGCATGTATATACTATTTTAATGGTAATTCCCGACGCCTATAGCTGCCAGTTTAGTACAAACTACTACTATTACTATTACACGTATGTACATATTTAGACGTGACGCAATTGCAATACTTCTTACGAGGAAATAGTCTTGGGGTCATAGTATATTGCAGATAAGAAGAAGGCGGCCTGTTATTCCCCGATTTCGTTTTGCTTCTCCTCTTCTTCAATATTTGATCTTCTCTATCTTTTATCTCTTTTTCTCTCATGCTCAATTATATAGGCATGGGAATATTGTACATGTATTCACTTATTAATGAATTCGCTTGAATGTATATATATAAACGTATTCATCTGTTTTACAGTACAATTTCGCGAGTCAGTGGAAGATAGAAGTAAGTATGTTCTTTTCATTTATATTTCTTGATTTTTTTCTTCGACAGATATTTTGTATGAAAAATTAGACCTTAATTATATCTCTCGAGACATTATTGTTAACATTGTATCTATTAGGTTGTGCGGAAGGTAATTTCGTTTTTTCTTGACACAATTTTGGAATTAGTTAATGCAAATTGGCAAATAACAACACGTGAAATCGTTGAGAGTTTAAATTTATTAAATTAAACTATTTAAATCCACTCAACAATCCTAAGTTTAACCTCGAAACAAAAATTGTGTTTATTTTCACAAAAAATAAAACGAAATTACTTTCCGAACAACACAATATAAATTCTCATAATAAAAATGTTATTTATAAAATATGTCTCATTGAAAAAAAAAAAAATAATAATAGATGCAATTTAAATGATAACAATAAACTACAATAGATAATTAAAACTAGTTATGTAAATGTTATTATACTACTGTATATCAAAAGTTGAAACTAATTTTATTTTTAACTTCTGCCAAGTTATGATGTTCATCTTCCTTTTATAGATCACTAGCCAAGATGAAACTAACAAACTTTCTCGTGATCTTGATGGTTGTAATACTGGCAGTTTGTGCACATGCTGCTCCAAAGAGTCGTGGGCTCCCTCAGTTCCCTGGCTATGGAACATTCAATCCCAAAGGCAAACTGCCTGTGCCATTTCCAAAAGTAAGTCGATCAATAAATTCAACTTTAATCGTAGAAACGAACGAAAAAAATGCTGATCTCTTTTTTTTATTTTTTTTTTTTTTTAGCAAAAATGTTATTCGAGTTATTTAATATTTTTGTGTTGCATCTTTTGTTGTTACAGCACTTCATTACAGACTGATTTGCAACAAATATTTATAAACCAACAAGATACGGTTAAATAACATTGACTTTTATATTAAACATTCGTATGTATAACATCATGGTAAATAGAATAGAATGAATAAATTATAAATATTTCAAAATGCTTGTCGTATTTATTTTAAATCACATAATAAAGTATCTCCGTGAAATATTTTTCACTGTCACATCCACGACGTTTCAATTTTCTAGTATTATAGTGATATATATATTTTTTTTTTAAATTCATGCAATACAATCAAAATTCTAAAAGTTACTTAAATCATTTATAAGACGATGACAATACAAAGAAGAATTGTCTGTGTAGAATTTCATTCAAATGACATTTATCTTTTCCATCAATCTATTTCAATCACTGAATCTTAAATCAAACGCAAGACTACGATGGCAAATAAAAAAATATAAAAATGTAATAAAAAAAAAAGAAAACATCGTAGGTGACATCTATAAGATGTAATCCATGTTAATGGAAAACGACTTTTTCTCTTAAAGTCTTTTACCGATAATGCAACTTTTACCGCACTTATATTGTTCAAAGATAACGAATAATGGCTGGTAAATAAAATCAATAAGAAAGAAGAAGCAAAAAGAGAAAAAAAGTAAATAACAGAGAAAGTAATGTCTAGATACCTGATATTTTTCTTTTGTTCACTTTTTCACTTTTACGTAATACCTTTAATTATCTTGCAAAAAGGGAATGATAAATCGAAATTCCATTTTCGCATTATATTTTTTAACTTAAGCTTTATACATTACGCATTTATATGTATGCATATATATGTACCAGCCAATATGTGGTTTCACCCAACATTTCGTGCAGCCTTTGCAAAATAATGTTCCCCCAAAACTGCAAAACCTTTCGCATTTTAACATTTTTACTCATGATATTTATCACGACGCGTTCAATATATTATTCAAATCGTCAATGGTCATGAAATATTTATAAATAACAAATATTGATATTTCGATGTTAGGATTTTTAAGAAACGAATGTAAAAAGTAATACTTCAATAGTGATAATTAAAACAATAATTTCTAATACTATATATATATATATATATATATATATGATGTTTTTATATAAAAATATGCTTTTAAGAAAAAAAAAACCATATAATTTTAAAAGATTTGTACATGTGTAAGTAAAGATATCGAATTGACTGGGTGACCAGTGTGGAAAGAAAATTTTTGCTGGTACGTGAAATACACAGTAAAGACGATTCTGAGTCGTTTACTCGACGATACGGAAAAGTTGAATAGCATCTGGCGAGAAAGCAAAGATATTTTTCTGAAACTGGTTCTCCGTTTTCATTGATTGCCCAAACTCACTTATGGATTTAACATTTTTTGGCACAACTCGGGAAATAACGGAATTCACAAATTCTTCTTAGCGAACAGTGCTACAATTCGATTTAAGAAAACTCACTCGTGGAACATAGGAAATATGAAATAGAACTAATCGACTGGAATTATTGTTTCATTCTCGAACACGACGCATTTTGAAAAATGATACTAGTTTTGTTCAAGATTCTAACGTTCAAAACACACTTTGCGATTTCTGATATTCTTTCTCGATAGTTAGTTCGAAAATACTTTAGTACAATAGAAAAAACAAAAGTATTAAATTAAATTAAAAGTGTCGGAGTATTTAAATATATAAAAAAAAATATTAACAATTAAATAAACGATGCTTCATTGTATTTTTTAATTCAACTGAACAAATTTTGTATTTCATTCAATTTATACTGTCCAATCTTGATTATCCATATTTTATGTACTTCAATGTTTATCTAATTTCGAGCTATAGAGAAGTATGTATGTGTGTAGGCGTGTTTGTGTTAGTGAAAAAAAACTCATGAACATTTAAAGACTTGGGAGCGATGGACCGTGTGAAACTCGTGATTGCTCATCCCAGCCGTTCTCGTGAAGATATTTTATAGCACGCTTGGGTAGTAATGAAGCTGTTTACATGCGTTTAAGAAAGCATCTCATCGAGAGCCAGATAATTAGAATACCCTTGTGCTTACGTACGCGATAGGCATTATTAGACGTACCTAAATGCAACTCTCTCTGCTTGCATGCCTGTTCGAACAATGGATCGTATTCTTTACTTTCATTATTATCTCTTAAAATGCACATATGCCCAAGTTAATTAAACTCTATTAACATATAAACAAAGTTTTATTTAAAACATAATTTTAACGATGTACTGTAAAACAAAAAATTCATTAATTTTTATCCCATTGTGATGTATATAAAAAAAGTATCTCCAAAATAATTTCATTCGAGCGTGAATAATTTTAATATCATTAATTTTACGCTTCAATGGGATAATTAAAAAATTTGGATAATGTGTTATCGATATAGGAAAAAAATATGACAAAAATTATCACGCATCGTCGAACTCATTAGCGTATATTTATATGTTTTTTTTTTACAAATTAAATCATTATTTAGATATGTTCTTTTTCTTTTTTATTTTAAATGCATGATGCAAAACAAAAATAAAAAAGAAAAAGAAATGTTTTTTCGATTAACACGATATGTAATCTCTAGTTCATAAATCTGATAAATCTGTGAATTCATGTAAAATGTAGAGAAATAGTAGACGATCGGATCGCATAAGCTCACGCAGCGATACAAGCTCAAAATGTATAGAATTGGATACATCTGTTTGGAACACGTCGTGGAAATGGTCGGTGATTGCATTGAACTGTTAAACGATATGTTTCTCTGATAAACGTTTTTTAGTCCAGTTAATGTGTCGTTAACCGAAAGACTACAAATCGAGCATTGCTGGAAGGTAACTGACGTGCGATTAATTAAAGTAAATATTCCGTGCGAGTTTTCCAAATTGAGATTTTATTTTATATCAAACTAATATTTAAAGCTCGATCACGAACACAACGATCGATCGTAATTCAAATTGTTATTTTATTATGCACAAACAACGAACAACATTATTTATGGGTAAAGATGCATTCTAATCGGTTCTTTGATTATTAATCAATAATTCATCAAAATTATTACTATAAAATTATAATAATTTAATATTTTAATAATAACATAATAAAAATTATAATATTAATATTAATAAAACAATATGTCGTTCTGAGACATTTCATGAAACATTTCATGAAATTTTTCAAAATCTGGGTCTACCCCATGGACCCTGAGGTAAACGTGGATTAAACGGTCCAGTTCCTGGGAACGTAGGAAAAGAAGGTTGTCCTGGTCTCGGATTCGGTACTGGTGGTCTGTACGACATTACAGACATTATTGTCATTAAAATAGCTATTATCAAAAGTACCAACTTCATCTTGATTATCAATTTGTGTTCTATCGATGTATAGAACTGTGTTCCCAATGATCAAACTGCAAAAATATAATATAACATAGTATCGTTATCCACGTTATTAAAATATCCTAACGAAAACGTCGTTAATCTTTAATTCTTTATTACCCTGTGACAATTAATGTGTATATAAACGAATTTTAATTAGGTAACATAACATCATTATAACGAACTAATCGTATTAATTAAACGTTCACAATACTGTTAGTAGCTCACTCAGTATATTATACTCCTTTTACGCATATTAACGTTATCGAAGCACGATAATTTAAATTGTATATGACTAAATTTCATTTAACACGCAAATTATTGCTCGCATACCGTGCTAATTCCCTCCCTTTTCAACCCCATAATACACAAAAACCTTTGTACACTCGATACTACTATTATACCCTATTATTAAACGATGAAAGATCTAAAGAGATTGTTTTCTTTTACGCTTTTATAAATATAATAAAATAACAAAAAAGAAAAAGGGGAAAAAAATGTTACTTCGTGATAAAGATAATAATTAATTGCCCTTACCTTGGCACTCCGTTGAGAGTCAGAGAATTATGTTTCCGGATACGACAAGTTCTCGCTTATATACAACACTAGTTTGCCAGTGTGCGGCAAAGATCCGAAGAATGCAAGGCAGAAAAAGAAAGAGAGAGAGGGAAATATATATATATACAAAACAAAGATAGAAGAAGAAAAAGGGAGAATTAAAAAAAGTGCAGTAAAGAAAGAAAGAAAGAAAAGAGAAAGAGATAAATAAAAAAGAGAAAAGAGAGATATATGGTATATATGTGTATATATGTTATATTACATAGAAGCATTGTATGCGTAAGATCGAATCAACGAGGAGACACGGGAAGAACCGCATCTTATCAACATAGCTGCGCTGGCTGTTGACACTTGACGCATAAATTACAGAGATTTGTATATGTGTTACGGGAAAGCTTGCACGGTTGGTGATACACACAAACGCGTTTAAAAAAATAAGTCTACAAACACTCGTGTATTACTTCATTCATGTTAATGTAAATGTGTGTGTGTGTGTGTGTATGTGTTTATGAATTCATATACGGGGAAGAACATCGCGAATACTCGATGATTGCATGAAACTTTACAACGATGGATTTCCCCTCCGATAAAATGTCTTTTTTTATTATCACAATAAAAGATTACTTTAATCGAGGGGAAAAAACAGTAAAGAAGACAAAGGAAAAAGAGACAGTCATATTACACAGGTAGGTACTGCATCATCGAGTAAAATCAAAGTACTACAAAATTAATTGCAAAATTTTTACGACTCGTGTTATGTTCTTGTGTTTTTTTAAAATTACCCTATCAAATATTTTAATACATTGTTTATTAATGATAACTATGAACACATAAATAAAATTGATCAATTTAAAAATATTGTATCGAATATTAAGGATAAGTTAAATCTAAATTAAATATTTCAGGAAAATGATAAACGGAATAATCGATTACTTTCTATCGATTTGGTAGATAAAAAAAAATAAAACGAATGGAGTAACACACATTCATAAATTTTTCTTATACGTTTAAAGTTAAAAAGAAAGCATGATGAAATATTATTACTCATACTAATGAAATCAACGTTAACACCTCTTTACCAAATGCAGTACGGTTACAAACATGCATATAATTATAATAGGTTGGTATTTTTTTTTGTTTTCATTTTTGTTCAACTACCGTGAGGAAGTATTAATACAGAACGAATGTCACAA